ACGGCTTATTTCCAGAATTTCTGTTGTTTTTTTTGACTCAGACTTAAAGTTCGGTTCGGTTCGTTTACCCGACCCAAATATGTGTCATTTTTTTTAACACGACCTAAAGTTTGGGTCGCTTTTTTTAACTGACCCAAGGTCTAGGTTAATTTTTTCTTCCAAGAGCCAACTAGGATCGACATCAATAAATATATAAATATAGATATTAATATTATGGGCGGAAAAGATAATATAATAGATACATCTTTTAATTTTGAGACTGACTCCACTATTCTTATTAATGGGCGGCGCGTCTAGATCTTGAGGGGTAAAATTAAAATTTCGGGCGAATTGATGAGTGACAATTGTCATGGCAGTTACCTCTAATATTTTGTTTTCTGGATAAAATATGGAGTTCCTCGTTTGAATCGGCTCAAATCGAGCAGTTCCACAACACTAGTTACTAATCTTAATAAATTTTATGAAATTCGAGATATTCTAAAATGACACCTAGAATAATATTCTTGGAAAAATCTAATTATCCCCTTCCCACAGTGAATTTTATCGTACGCGTCTGCAACAATCACAAAATTTATAGAATTTCCCCAATCAACACTTGGGCATATATTCTTTAAGCTCTAATGAAATACTTTCGGCCTCTTCTTGATGTCAAATTAAACCAATATATTTTTTTTTAAAAGGGAATTCCATTAAAATACTAATATAATAAAATAATTTATTTAAACAGTCCAGTGGAAAGAAAAATTTGTTTATCTTCGAATAAAATTCTGCCATTTATCTACAAGCAGTTAAAATAGGTTCTTCCAACTTTATAAAATTAGTAATGATTTGATAGAGAAATTTTTTTTTAAAGCATAATTTATTTAATTTCACTGGCAGGACATTGTAGCTTATATTTAAAAGTATTTTACCATTTTTGATTTCGTCATTTTCTTTGGTCTTACTTTTAATATAATATAATATAATTCTTGTTATATATATATTCCTACTATTAAATTTTTAGATTTGAAAGCATATCTTTTAACTTACATTTTTCTTTATATTTAAATTTTCTTTTTTATTTTCGTTATATTCAAATTAAAATATTTTAACGAACAGGACAACTTAAAATTATTTTACTTTTAAGAGGTTGTTTGCGTAATTCTTATTTCCAAAAAATGTTAAACAAATTTATATTTTTATTATTCATTTTATTTGACCTTATTTTCTTAGGGATCTAATCACAGAAGATTTTTTAAACAAAGAATCTTCAACATATATATTATGATCAAGAAATCAAATGCATATAATTTCATAGGATTTTAATGAAGAAAATTTTCAAAATACCACAAAAATTAGATCAAAAAATCGAATGGGATTTAGTCCCAAAATTTTTTTACATAAAAACAATTATTTATTTATAATTTCAAAGATTTTTTGTTAAAACATGGGCAAATAAAATCTTTTAAAAAACCTTAGATTTACTTCAAACTCTGATTGAATGATTGCTATCCTTATTTCTATAATAAATGTAATGCCCTTTTCAGCATTTAGAAATGAAAAATTATTATATAAAGAAAAATGTTTCTAAAAATAAAGGCTTTGTATAATGTGTATCTTATACATTATGATAATGGAGGTCATTCTGAAAAATCTTATCACCAAAAAGTTTTACAAATAAATACTTAAGTTATTAAGAATATACACACACTGACATAATTTTCAATTGTGGGATGGAAAACCTTATAAAAGTTAAAATTAAAAAAAAAACAATTTATTCAATTGATCACATATTAATGTTACCTGACATATTTGCCAATTGTTGAACAAAATTCTAATATCGAAAGCTGGCCTCATATTATCCTATAGCAATGGAAGAATTAAATTACCCCAATCCAGACAGCTCTTATCTATTTTATCCATACCTAATTAATAATTAACTGATAGCCCCTATAACCATTCTCAATCCGGCCAATATTATGTAGCCTTCATCAACGACCTTAATTCCTGTTTCAGTATGATACCTCTAAAAATGTGACAGATCCTGAATACCATGCATAGGCGTAGACAAGTTTTTCCTAAGGAGGGGGGGGGGAATTAAAAAAACCCCCAGACCCCATTTTGGGCGGGTCTTCGGTCCGCTTTTACCCGGCCTTCGGCCGGATTACCTTATTCTATATATAGTCATAAATTTTTTTTACAAAATAGGAAGTTTATTTTAATTAAAAAAAATAAGCCTGGACAAATATGAAATATATTCTTATTAGTTTATATAATAAATTACTATTAATATAAAATGGTAATAATTTATTCCAAACAAGTATAAGAAATTTATTTATAAAAAGGTAAGTAGAAATATAGTTAATATTCCTCTATTATATAAAATTGGTTACAAAATACTAGGTAAAATTCCACTTTTACAGAATATATAACAGTTAGAGAATATATTACAGTTAATATTTTAACAAATTTTACTAATCAATGCTCTTGATAATAAATTTAGCAACAATTTGCGTTTAATTATTTAACGCCATCTATTTATTTTAAATAAAAAATGATAATAAAAATTAATCTTTATATTATTCATCCCACAATGTCTTTGAAAGATATTTTCTGATGTCTTTAATAATATTAAAGTTTTCTGTAAAATATAAAATTCGCTATATGGTAAAAATTATTTGATTGTCAAATAATAATTGATAAAATTAGATACTGTAAATCTACGACATATAATATTACACTATTTGTATTGTGTTTTAAATATTTATTTAATTTTTGATTTAATTTTATCAATAGTTTTAATAATATATTTTACTTTTATTAAGATAAATAAATTAAAATATTCACTTTATGAAAAATTATATTTGATATATTATATTATTTAGTAATTTTATGGATCTATTATTAATAATTATAATACATAATACTTTTGTGTTAAGATTTATTTTTGATTTATATTCCATTTCTTAAAAAACATTTTTGGTTCACTTTTTTATATATAAATGCTTTTTTCCAAAAATGTATAAATCATGATGAATAGTTTTAGTTTAAAAAATATTAACTCTTACATTTTTTTCTTTCAAAATATTTAAGATAGATGCATACATTTATGGGGGTCATAGAGTGGGGGTAGGACTAAGGGGGATATTTTTTATTAGCTTAAAATGATATTGACAAAAAGTGATAAATTTCTGAAGGGGGCCTATAATCCCATGCGAATGAGTCATTTCTTGCTATCATCCCGCATACTTAAAGGCACAAGGCTTCAATTAGCAAGATCATATTCCAAATATCTTTAATCTTTGATTAATAGCTTCTAATCCAGTGTCTACATGAGCGGGGGGGGGGGGGTAGGAACAGTTTGCATCCTAATATCTATAAAGGGGTAGGGGGTAGGTGGTAGGGGGTAGGCATTTTGGGGGGTAGGCTATAATAATCTAGAAAATTTTCCATTACATTTTTAAATTATCTATGGATAACATTTTGGTATTTTTAGGGGGGTAGATATATATTTTTGAGGGGGGTTTGCATCCAATGAATATACTGTCATGTAGACGCTGTTCTAATCAGTCAGGCACTACTTAGATTTTTAGAAGATTACAGCATTGCACCTTCCTAAACTTTCAATATTAGCTAGAAAGGTTCTATGCGTTCCACTACGAGCACACCATGCGAGAATGTATTTTCCATGGCTGGGCTCACTTTAAACTCTAAAAGATCATCATTATGTCCTATAAATCTAAATAAAATAATATTTATACTTGATATTTATATAAAATCGTTAAATTATAGGTATGAACATTATAAAGCAAAAATTTTATTTTAAAAGTGTTTCCAATGACTTTATAACTTTAATTTAAAATTTTAAGTTAGATAAATATTTGACGCCGCGGCGCCACTGATTTTTGTAACAGGGTCTAAATCGATTCGCTCCCACCAGCCAATTGTTTTAAAAAAAGAAACGCCGCCGACGATAATGCTGTTGGGGCACAGGTCTATCTATTATTAAATCTTCTAATTTATTATTATGTTTATTTTTTTAACATTAAATCTGCCTATTTTATTTGTTACTTAATTTTTCTTTTTGCACTTTTTAATTTATTCGAAACAGGTATTTGCTCAGTTGCTATTACTCTTGCTCATTTTCTATTCTAAACTTTATTTGCTATTAAATTGAGTCTTTTATTACTTTTTGACACTTTTTTGTACTTTTAGGTGATTATTTTTTTTTTAATATTTTTTTTTGAAGCTTTATTTATTACACTTCTATTATCATAATATTTACATTATAAAATTTGAACATAGGTAAAATGACTACGAAACAAGATATAACTGAGATGTGTCATTTAACTAGTGTGTCAAAATGTCATAATATCATCCTATTTTATATTTATTGCTCTATTCCCACGATATTTAAATTTATCATTTTGGAAATATTATTTGCAATTATAGTTTTGTCAATACATAATGTCATTTAGTTTTGTATAATTATAACTAGGCTCAGTGAAAAAAAATCTAACTCTTTCAAAACCTCATCTTCTACACAAAACAATTTTTAACAATATTAAATAAGACTTCAGTTACCCAGCCAAGGACTTAGTACAATAAAAAAAAATTCTGCTATTTGAAAATTTGTACCCTTCCCTAAATTAGAATAACTTAACTTCTAATTTTACCACTATAATTACTATTTAATTAAGTACTTTGCAATTAACTAATGATAGATAATTCTTGGTACTTGTATCTAACATTTAAATCATAAAATAAAGAAAGCTCAAAATTTTTTTAATTTCTATCCTTTTATATTGAAATTTTATGACAATGAAAAAAAAACTATTGTTTTATTAAAGATCAGATTTTAATAATGATACTTATAAGCTCATGTAAAAAGAATATATTTTCTTAAAAATGTTATGCTAGTATTTTAAGTAAATTTTTTAAAGATTCTTGTGTGATATAACAATTTTTATATTGAGAGATTCCTGATATAAATATATGTAGAAAGTAGCAGACATTTATTGTGATTCACTATCTATTTATATATATTATGAATAATGTTGACAATGCCCAAAACCACTAAATTGAAAAGAAACAATAATTTAATAAATAAAGTTGGTGAATTCCAATATTTTGAATGTGGGAACAAGAATTGTACAAAACCCCATTACCATAAGGTCTATATTCAGGATGTCAATGAAATAAATATTCACAATTCGAAGGAAGCCATAAGGTATTTAATATTAATATTTAACTATTTAGAAAAATGTTGTAAGATAAAATAAAAATGGAATCATCACCAGAAGTGGTCTGTCCTTGTAATTGCACAGTCTAAACATGGTTAGTTAATTGTGCCTAAAAACATTTTGAGACATTTTGACCAATTCGTGCAAATAAGCTAAAAAAATTTAAAACCTTGAATAAAATCAAATTTGGGATTTTTATTGACAATGTTAGTCAAAATAAACACCTTTTTAAAATTGACCAGTCAGCATGCTGAGAGAATTTATCATTTTGAATTGATAAAATAATTTATGACATTGATTTTAAGAAAATTTTAGAATGTTTATGTGACAAGTATTTCAAGATTATCTTTTTTTATTGACTTTATATATATTTTTTCACCAAAAAGTAATTATGCTTGTAGCCCTTGTTTCTTTTCTAAAACCAAGCTCAAATTTTTAGCATTTTTATGGACTAGCACAAAAAAATTTTAATAATTTTTACTTGTATTTTGTAAATTGTATCAAAGAGAAACTAAAAATTTAACTACATTGATGCCACTCTTTTGGTCTATACTGAGGATAATGATAGTCATGCCCACTAATACTTAATTTGTTTTTAAATTGCAACCCTGACTTCAAGGTTATAAAGAGAAAAGTATACATTAGCCCGAATGTTATATATTATAATTATTTGGGTAATATTTGTATCTTTAATTTTTATACTGAAAATTGATTCCCAATATCGATAAAAGGGGAAGTATTAAATATTGCACTTTTTTTATAGAACAAAAAGATTATTATTTATTCTCTATATGCATATATTATTTTTTTTTAAATTAGCATTACAAACCCACAATCCACTATTAACATTATTCCGATATCAACACTGGATGCTCCAATTGCCTCGAGCAATGAGTAATATATTTGTATCTTTTATTTTCATATTGACAATTACCCAATACTAATAAAATGGAAAAAGGCCATTAATACCTCTTTTTTAGAAAAAAAATATTTATTCTCAATAAACGTATTTTTAAACAAATTAGCATTACAAACTCACCATCAACTATTAACATTATTCCGTATATTAACATTAGAGATTTGCAAAGTTAGGCCCAGCCAGTACCTGGCCCAAGTCTGGCTAGGCCCAAAGCCAGTTCGGGCTGGGCTCGGGCCTAATTATATTTAAAATAATCGGGTTTGGGCCAAGCCAGGCCTAATATTTTTAAAAAATTTTTGGTCCAGATTGGATTGGACCTTGGAAATTTTATTAAATATATCTAAATTTATCAATTTTATATTGAATTTTTTATGTAAAATAAAAATTTTTGATTTAATTTATTGAAAAAAATTTCCAAAGTCCTATCCGATCTTGGCCCAAATTTTTCTTTTAAATATTAGGCCCAGCTCGACCCAAACTCGATTATTTTAAATAGAATTAGGCCTTTTATATATTATTTCCATCCTATAATGATATAAAGTTATTTACCCTGGCTTAGGTACTGATGCGAAATATACCCCTCCCACTCCTCTCAAAAGATTTTCCTTTCTTTTTTTATAACTTTTTACCTTCCTTTAATTTCCCATTCTTCTATAAATGCTAAACAAATTCTGTAAAGCCACATTCATGGAACATTTGATCAATTATTATCTGTTTATTATTATAGATTGATATATATTTTTTATATTATCACAAATAGAATTAAAGATAAAATTAATATAGGTCAGCTGTTAAATCAGATCCCATTATAAATGTCTAAGATATAGATTACCTACATTTTATTAATATTAATACATATTTACCACATAATAATTTTTTAACCCAGTTATAGACAGCACCCTTGGTTACATTGGCCCTAAGAGTCTATTTCTTCATTCTATAAGCCTTAAAATTTAGCTCTTTACAGGAAATCACCTTGAATTTTTTGACCTAAAACCAGGTCAGGTGTTCCAATTCTCAGAGGAGTTTAATCGTTCCTCCTCCATTTTTATTTCTTTTTAAATGTTTTATCTAATTTTTATTCCATATTTGTAAAATTTTACTCTAGATAACAGAGAATTTTTTAATTAAAAAAAACAAGGAATATATTTTATTAGTTTTTACCAAAGTTGTTAAAGGATAGTTTTAAAATGGATCAAGATACATATATATCACCTAAAAACGTACCTATATACCAATATTGCATAATGTTTAATTTAGAATTCCCAGTTAAACAAATTTTGAAGTGGGCTAAAAAAAAATTATCAAGCCGATATCACATCTATGTATAAATGATAAATAGTAATTGTTATATTTTATAATTATGCAAAATATATAATTATATGATTATTATAAGTAATATTTATTCGATTTAATAATAAAAAAACATTCTCAAAATTTTTATCATTTAAGGCACTCCCATTTATCTGTAAAGACATTTTTTGACACACTAAAAAGTCTTCCAGGCCATTTAACTGCTGAGTTATGTTACATTTAAAATATATTGGGATATCCATTAAATATATTATATTATAATCCTGACAAACATTTTTTAAAATTATTCAATATTTGATGAGTGTCCTTATATCATCTCAGGGGTGCCCCAAAAAATCTGATATTAAATTATTTTATTTCCTTTCAGATATTGTATAGAAATATTAATCTAAAAATTATGATATATGTTTTTTAAATTAATTTTCATAATTGAAATATAAAATTTACCTTGTTATATCGTTTTGCTTAAAATATAAAATGTATATTTTGCTTTTTTGTAATGAAATAAACTCTGACATAATATTTAATGAATTTAAATCAAATATTATATCATTTTTAATATTAAAAAACGTAGAATTAAATTATATCAAAATGTATATATAAAATAGACACAGATACCTCTAAAATAGTATCTAGATAAGATACTTTTTATAACAGCGTATCTAAATACGGATACCACATTTTTGTATCTGTATATAGTATCTAGGTATCTAAATGCTTTAACAACCCTGGTTTTCACGGTTATGTCAGGGACCTGGTATTTATTATTTTATTTCTTCAAAATCGAAGCTTGAATTGATGGAATTGTTTTTTTTATCTATTTATCAGCTTTAATTTATTAATGGGTTTATCATGTGCATAAACTTTCTTCAGTTTACATTTTTTTAGGCATATCGCTCAGGAAATACAACGAAGAAAGATGTTTCGTTTGTAAGTTACTCGTAACAAAAAAAAAGAAGAAGTATTTATTTAACATTAGATTTCAAAAATTAAATTATTCTCACATTCCTATGATGAATCTCAATTGCGTCAAATATTTGTAATTAAAATAACCGCGAACCCCTCAAAGATTTTATTTACGTTTATGCATCTTTACCCCCTCCCCCGTTCTAGGTATGACATTGGTAGTGTCGTTAAACTACCTAACTTTAGTCAACTATAAAACAGCGTGACCATATTTTTAACCAAAAATATTAGAATCAATCAAGCTGAGACTCACCTTAGAAGCTTAATTTAATTTTTTAGGCTAAAACACTAAGCCACAGTAGAGATGGTCAAAATTAGGTAATTTAACAACACTAGACATTGCTTATGATTAGGGAGATGGCTTTAAATAAGTAAATTTTTTTAAAAAAATAAAATTAATCTTAAGAGTGCCGACATCGCACGAAACCGCCAAATCTATAAGAAACGGGGATTTAATTGTCAAGGACAACTTTATCTACCGATTTAACAATAAAGTTGGCGATGTTCGATATTTCAAATGCAAAAACGAGGATTGTAACGCGAGAGGGAACTTGAAACGCGGCATTTTTAAGGTCACGAAATCTCACGTCCACGAACCCAACTCTCAGAATGTCGACGAAATACTTACTCACAATTATCTCAAGGAAGCCGTGATGTAAATTAATATTTAGAAATTTATTTTAACATTTTATTTATAAATTATGGTGTCATGTTTGGAATAAGACAATTTTAATTGTTAACCCTTAGACTTCATTTTTAATTTATATTTAAAAAATAATTTGTGAGAAAAAAAGTTTAAAAGTTCACGGAAAAATTGTCCCAAATTCATAGGGTAGATATTCCAAAACATGGCGGCATGCATTTCCGGTTATAATCAGATTTTTTAAATTTTTAAAAAACGCGCTTTAAAAAAAATGATTTTAAAGTTGAAAAAACACATTAAAGAAAAAAACATATTGACGCTTACATATATATTATAACGCTTCTTAAAATGGTCACCTTATCCTCTTCTCTTTCTTTCTTTCTTTCTTTCTTTCTTTTATTTCATTTATTAAAATGAATAGTATACCAGTTTATAATTTACGGGAAATGTTTGTCATTTTATAAATAATAGGCCTCCATATTTTTTTTAAAAAAAATGCGCTTTTTCAAGTTTCTGGGGTTTTTTTTGGAAATAAAATTCAAAGCTGGCCCAGATTTAAAATAAATCATTTTTAGGGCACGGCCTCTCTATTGGGGGGGGGGGGGGGGGGGGCTGAAATTTTTTTTAAAAAGATATGTTCAAAATTTGAAGAATAAAAAATTAATTAAATTTTAATTAATTGTTTAAAGAAGAAAAAAAATAGCAAAGAGGCTTTGTATAGTTTTTAATATAATTTTTATGAATGATATAATGTATTCTCAAATTAAAATCAAGTTTTTATTTGCTCCTTAACTTTTATTAAAATTTAAGATGGCGACTATTCATGGCAGCTGTCTCATCGTAAAACGTAAAATAAAATTTAAGACGTGGCAGTCTTGAAAAGCAATTCATTCTGCATAACGAGTAGTTACGGGAATTGTTTTCTTTCTTCCTTTGTTCTCTTGATATGAGTATGCGACCTTCTCCAAAGAGATTTAATCTATATTTATTTTTTTTTAACCAATTTTGAGTATTCCAAAAACTTATCATTATGAAGAATTAACATGATTCATTTCAAATTCGTATCTATAGAAAAGTGATTCATAGTGATTTTCGTCAAATTTTCTAGTCTTTAATTGCTCCATATAAATTAAATTATTAATTACTGGTTTGTTGAAGCGATTTTTGGCACTTGCAATATGTATGATCTAAAACTTCATATGTTGGATAATTCGAATTGTGTTTTCGTTTGTTTAGCTTTGAATGTGCATAACTTTTGGACCTATTGATAGAATTTGATTAAATTTTACAGGAATTGATAATTTATCCCTTTTTCAATTTATAAAATTTTACTGAATTATTTTAGAATTGACAGATTTATTAAAGTATAATTTATATTTTGAAATAAAAACTATTTTTCATTAAACAGATATATAATATGTTTTTAACGAAAAAATGACCATTTTTTCAATTTTATCTGCCAAAAAGGTTGCGCGAAGGATAAATTACCTCATTTTTACTAAATATTTGTTCTTAATTAATATGGTGGTTGCCAATGTCAGGTAACTCCGGGTATAACCGCCAGAGATGAGAATCGTATTCCTTGCAAATAAATAAAAGTAAATATATAAGTCAATTGTGCTAATAAAAAAATATTATAAGTTTAACAAATGGCTCACTTTAATAAATGGCTTTTTATTATCACTGAACCCTATTGTTACTACTGAAACAAATTTCTATATTATTTTTACTTTCTTTTTTTCTTTCTTTTATTTTATTGATTTAAGCCAAGAATAATTTCCAAAAAATTTTAAAAAGAAAAAAAACAAAAAAACTATAATTTACAATAAGAATTATATTTTTATATTAAAATTACGCGATATCATTTCCATAATAAATAATAAATTAAAATAAATATTCCGATAAACAAAATAATTTTTCCTTTATAATAAATTAAATGAAAATAAATATTCCGATAAATAAAATAACAAACTTTTTTCTTTTATAATAAATTAACTGAGAAGAAAAAAAATATAAAGAGAAAGCAATTTACGTATAAACCAACCGATTTATTTCCAATATTAATCCCCCATTTCTCCGACACGCCCCAACTGCTCAAATCCCAAACGGAATGACGCTGTTAGTTTCCCCTCGGATCTTCCTCGTCCGGACACCGCTCTCCAGCATCTTCTTCCGGCTCTCCTCCCCACCTTCCCACCTCCGTTTCACTGATCATAATATCCAGCCACACCTCTAATTCGCCCGTAAATTCACCTACTCTCAACGCCACTTCCAACTCCCGCAACGCCTCCATGTCCCTAATTTGTTGCTGATTCCCGCTAATTATTGCCTCCTCACTCGGATCTCTGTTGCCCTCATCCTCAGGTAACGGTGGTCCCTCCGGCGACTCTCGTATTTCACTTAACCAAGGTATTCCCGGGGACGAAGGCACTTCTGGTACCGTTGGTATCTCACGCAACGTGGGCATCCCCGGCGACGATGACCTCCCTGGTAACGTTGGCGCTCTATCTATCTCCCCCTTCCTGCTACCCACTATCTCCGCTACTAGCCGCTCCGGCCGATCCGTTCCCCCTATCCTACGTATTACCCCCACCTGTGCGCCTTCCCGGTCTGGTACCTCCCTATTTCGCGGACATTGATATCGTAGATGCCCCACCTCCATACACCGATAGCACCGCCTTCCCTCCATCCTCGACCGTCCGGGAATTCTTCTGGCGATTTCCCATCTTCCCCGGGGCCTCCGGTGCCGCATGATCACCTCTATTTCCAATTCTCCCATACACCCGTAGGTTGGGGAATAAGAATATTCGAAGATAAGATAAGGTAGAATATTTGAAAGAGGTCTAATGGCAATGTGGTATATTATGCATTAGAAGGTGCCACAAATGGAATGGAACCGCGTTTGGTGTATGGGAGAATTGGAAAGAGAGGTAATCATGCGGCACCGGAGTCCCCGGGGAAGATCGGAAATCGCCAGAAGAATTCCCGGACGGTCGAGGATGGAGGGAAGGCGGTGCTATCGGTGTATGGAGGTGGGGCATCTACGATATCAATGTCCGCGAAATCGGGAGGTACCAGACCGGGAAGGCGCACAGGTGGGGGTAATTCGTAGGATAGGGGGAACGGATCGGCCGGAGCAGCTAGTAGCGGAGATAGTGGGTAGCAGGAAGGGGGAGATAGATAGAGCGCCAACGTTACCAGGGAGGTCATCGTCGCCGGGGATGCCCACGTTGCGTGAGATACCAACGGTACCAGAAGTGCCTTCGTCCCCGGGAATACCTTGGTTAAGTGAAATACGAGCGTCGCCGGAGGGACCACCGTTACCTGAGGATGAGGGCAACAGAGATCCGAGTGAGGAGGCAATAATTAGCGGGAATCAGCAACAAGTTAGGGACATGGAGGCGTTGCGGGAGTTGGAAGTGGCGTTGAAAGTAGGAGGTGAATTTACGGGCACTTTAATAAATGGCTTATTATTATCACTGAACCCTATTGTTACTACTGAAACAAATTTCTATATTATTTTTACTTTCTTTTATTCTATTGATTTCAGCCAAGAATAATTTCCAAAAAATTTGAAAAAGAAAAAAAAAACTTTCTTTTTTTCTTTTTTTTATTCTATTGATTTCAGCCAAGAATAATTTCCAAAAAATTTGAAAAAGAAAAAAAAAACTTTCTTTTTTTCTTTTTTTTATTCTATTGATTTCAGCCAAGAATAATTTCCAAAAAATTTGAAAAAGAAAAAAAAAACAAAAAAACTATAATTTACAATAAAAATTATATTTTTATATTAAAATTACGCGATATCATTTCCATAATAAATAATAAATTAAAATAAATATTCCGATAAACAAAATAACAAACTATTTTTCCTTTATAATAAATTAAATGAAAATAAATATTCCGATAAATAAAAATAACAAACTTTTTCCTTTTATAATAAATTAACTGAGAAGAAAAAAAATATAAAGAGAAGCAATTAACGTATAAACCAACATATTTATTTCCAATATTAATCCCCCATTTCTCCGACAATAAGCTTTTTGCGTGTGCTATACCTTGCAAAGAAAGAGATGGAAAGGGGGAACACGTAAATTAAGATTTAAAGAAATTTTTATAATATCAACTATTGTTGATATCAAAGAAACCACGGTGCACGTTTCCCAACTACATAGGATTTTCCATCCTAAATCTTTCATTCCTCATAGAATTTTTCCATCCAAAGCCTATCATTCTTTTCGGTGCACCATGTATAAACCATAAATACTTTTATAATATAAAAAAAATATAATTTTAAATTAGAAATAAACCCCACGATTCGTTGAAAAGAGTCTACATAAACGTAATGGATACGCACGCAGTCCAAGAAAAGCCAGGCACCTGTCCTACCTTCAACTCCAAGAAAGAAACTTTACAAAGATTGAGACGAAAAATGTCCGCGCCTGCGCCTCCAATTTCGAAGTTTCGTAACTTTATTTTTAAACTTATCATACAATTCATTTGAACTTACTATACGATTACATTCGACTCTAATCTTCTAACATATTGTGCCATTACTTATCAATCTTAATTGCTTCTATCTAAACTTCTCTACCACTTATACAAATATTCTTAACATAAAATATGCTCATATAACCTGTTCAATATTCCAACAAAATAGTTATTGTCTTGTTTGATTCGTATTACGAATATTCGAATCGAGTGAGAATAAGGAAAATATATTATCTTTCGAATAATTTTTTTAATTCATTATTCGAAATTTCATAAATATTCATAATTTTTCTTAAGTATCTAACACTTTCCTCTCGGAGCTTCGTAATTTTTTTAAACCCTTTTCGCCACAATCTATAAATCAACTTTTTAAAAATTTAAATAATACATTTATCATTTTTAGAAAATATTTTTTTGATAAATTTTTTTTGGATTAAATATTCCGCAAATCAAATGGAAGAATTATTTTTTAGTTCAAATTCAAAGGTTCATGGTCAATCTTATAGAAATCAGATTTTCCTAAAAATAAAAATCGCTATCGTGAAATGATTTTTGAAATTGATAGATTTTGCGAATTTTATGTTACTTCATATATTTTTTTTTAAATTGGAATATGACATCTGACATTTTCAAAAAAATAAGAAATTAATCCATATTTAGCCATAAATTAAATTTTTTATCCCTACTTTAGCTCGGATCCGAAAATTTTGCATTATTTATTTTAGCTCAACCTGAATTTTTTGATATTTTTTTAGTCTGAGCTCCGCGTATTTTTAATTTTATTCTTGGATGGGGCTATATCATGCATTACTTTTAATTTTGATAATGTCTACTGTTACTGATCGAATGGGTAGGTATTAATAAATATTTCTTTTTTTTTTCCTATTTTTGATTCTCTATAATTGTATAAATTAATGTCCTAAACAAATTAGCATATCATACCCCATGTTAACTTTCGACGTTATTACAAATTCGGTGACAACATCGTATATTCCAATAAACTCAGGCAACACAGAGTAATTTTTTATTTTTTATCTTATATTTCTATATTTGGTTATTTGTGTTCCCCATAACCGATAAACATTTAAAAAAAAGGGCCTTAAAATATTATTTTTTCAGAGTTGTTAATCGCTACATTTAAAAGTAGCGCGCTACCGCTACGCTAATTGTTAAAAAAAAGTTGCTCTCTATTAGAGTAGCTTTAGCTACTTTTAGGCTACTTTTTATAAAAAAAAATTTAAAACAATTTTTTTTTTATTTTGCATATAATGTAATTGTATAGTAAATAATATATAAAAATCAACATTTATAAATACTAAAATATAGTTAATTTTGATTATAAAATAATTTATGTAATAAATTTTAAATATTTATCGTAATTTGTTGAATTTTAATAATAAAATCATTTCAATATTATCATCCCCAAGTCTAGATCGACGATCAGAAAGTATCAGTTTTGCCTTACTAAATAATCTCTCTGTGTCTAACCTTCAGCATTATCCTCACCAAATATTCTATATTCATATTAAATAGAATAAATTATTCATCCCGTTTTTAATAGAAATGTGTAGTGATATTTATTAAAAATGGAGTGGTAAAATCATTAGGTTGCTATTCTAAATTTTAAACCTCAAAAATTATGATGTAACTAAGTAAAAATATTTTATCAAATGAATACATTGAATTCCCTGTACTGTATATAAATTGATGGATATTAATCAATAAGAAATAAATATAGTAAAAATCTAATCATCCATGAAATATTCAATAACCATATCATATTAATTGTTAAGCTCAATGACACTGTGCAATAAAAACTAAAGAAATAATCCATCTCTGTTGTAAATTTTATTAGTTAAATTCACTAATTTTTTAATAATTTGATATAATATTACTAAAATATGTATGTATTTAGTTAATAAAAATTCTATATATAATGTGAAATATTAAATAACTTTTAAATAAATACTGAAAAATTTAATTAATAACTTAACTATTACTTGATTTAATTTATTACTCTAAATATTTTAAAAATTAATTTATAATACTGAAGGTCGTCAGCTAATTGGACCCATTATCGGTCACCATCTTGCAAACTTTATTATGAATCCTAACGTCAATAATTATATTTGCAAGTACATTGTATGTCTGGCATCCTATTATCCTATTGAGGGCTAATGCTACTGATCTTTTTAAAGTCCTAGGGTCTAGCCAATGGCTTGTGATTCCCAAATAAGCTCTAAAAATATTTAATCAGATCAATTTATAAATATAAATAAGTGTTTACCTTCTGTTATGTGTCCAACTATCTGCCGTGGTACATATATGAGATATCTCTGATAATTCTATTATTAAAGCATCTTTCATCACTTTAAACTTATCTGCTATTTTATTCACAAGTGTCTGGCGACATAAAATAGTTGTACCAGAGTAAATGATAGATTATCAACCAAGGACATTGGCTGAACAATATCAATTATAAAATTCACAATAACTTTATCAGTTAATTTCTGAGTAATATTAGCATTTGTATTATTAATTAATTTTGTCTGAATGGAATTAGTCTTTTTGGATGTAGATTCACCTATGCCAAATTTATTTAAATGTTCAATATTCTTAAAACTATTAGCATGAACAGTCATAAAATAAATATTATAATTTATGTAAAAATGATAATTTACCTTTAGGTGTTTCATGAGGTTATAGCTACTGGATTGATTTGAGGAAATATTTTTTTACATTTTAGACATATAAATTTGAAGCCAGTTTTTGTTTTAATATTTATCTTGAAAAATTTTTGAAATCTAGGGAATGGGAAAGTATTGCTATGAATATTATTTTCTTCCCTGGTATCTTCCATTTCATTAATGTCATTGTCTGATCTGAATCACTTTCAACGATTTGGATATCATATGCGATGCCATTTCAAATTATTAACAGGTGATTTAGGTTTATAATACAAATTGAAAATATATTTCAATTTCAAAATTAAATAATAAATCATAAAAATTATAATTAATTATGGTATTATATTTAAATTTTCGTGCTCATTAATACATTCATTATATTTTTTTAAAGTAGCGCGCTAAAAAATTAAATAATTTTAAAAAAGTAGCCGCTATTAGCTATAGCTACCAAAAAAGATAGCGCGCTACTTTGACAACTCTGCTTTTTATCCTTATTGTCTATAAATATTTAATATTTTAAACAAATTAGCATTACAAACCCATCATCAACTTTTAACGTTATTCCGATATCAATACTGGATGCTCCAACTACCTCAAGCAATGAGTAATATATTTGCATCTTCTATTTTCATATTGACAATTACCCGATACTGATAAAAGGGGAGAAGGCCTTAAATAGCTCTTTTAAAAAATTAATATTTATTCTCTATAAACGTATAATATTTTTAACAAATTAGCATTACAAACCCACTAACTATTAACGTTATACCGATATCAACGATGGATACTCCAATAACCCTAGTCAGTGAAGAGTATAGTATTTTTATCCATTTATTTTCATATATTGATAACAGATCCCCGATACTGATAAAGAATTGATTTCCCTTGCCTTAGTTACTGATACGATATATATACTCCCTCTCACCCCTCTCAAAAGATTTTCCTTTTTATTTTAAAACTTTTTACCTTCCTTTGATCCCCACTCTTCGGTTATCACTAAGCATTCTATAGGACTGAATTCGTGGTAGGGTCCAATACAGCACGATTAGCTGATCGATTTTTTTTTTAAATCTGTCTGTGGGATCAAATTTTTCTTTATTAAAATCAATATTTCTTAGATTATTATAATGAATTGAATTAAAGATAAACAGAGAACTGTAGAGGTACCGTTTGCGCGGCCTAGTCAGGCCCTGGTTTTATACTTTTACGCCCGTCTCGGATTTTTTTAAAATATGTTACATTTATTTTTAATTATTATAGCCAATAACGGTTTTAAAATATACGTCCCGGCCCGGGTTTAAAATTTTTTTTTAGGCCCTGCCCGGCCTGACCTGGGTATATTTTTTTTTAAAAAAAAATTTAGACCCAGCCTGCAGGTCTCTGATTAGTATTAAAATAGAAAAATTGATCTTATAAACAGATTTTAAAATCGATCAACTGTTAAATCGTGTCAGATCAGATCCCAACACTAACGTGACCTAAGATACAGGTTACCTACATTCAAAATTAAAATTAATTCATATTTCGATCTACCACATAATAATTTTTTTTAACCCGGTTATAGACATCACCCTTGGCCACGTTGGCCCTAAGGGTCTGGGTCTTCTACGTTCTATAGGCCTGAAAGTTTAGCTATTTACAGGAAATCACCTTTGAATTTTAGGGAGTCATTCAGATTCTCAGAAGAGTTTAGTCCTTCCTCCCTTAATTTTTTTTTGTGTTCGCCCTCCATTTTGTTATTCAGTTTTTAAATGTTTTATCTAGTTTTTATTTCATATATTTTTTAATTTAAAAAGAAATATCTTTTGTTAATTTTTACGGTCACGGCAATGCCCTGGTGCTATATATCAGCCTTAATTTATTAAAGGGTTTAATCATGCATGAATATTTTATTCAGTTCACATTTTTTAGGCATATCACCTGAAGGAAAATTACGAAGAAGAAATTCGTGTATATATCTAATGACGAAACCCTTGCAGCTTTCCCAGGGCTCCCCCTAGTCGAGTTCTATCCTCAGGTTCCCACTTAGCGATGTTTAGCAAATTCCATTAATAGTCATCTTCTCCTCTTCCTTTTACCAGTGAAGAAGTCATTAATTCAATAAAATCCTTTAATAAGAGTTCAGCCTGGGCCTCAATGGCTATCAACCCTGATATTTTTTAACATTGCTTCCCTTAATTATCCTAATTTTAGTATCTTCATTAACAATTTATTTCTTATTTCGTGATAAAATTGTTAACGAAACCCTTCCAGCTATAGTTCCTATCCTCTTGGGGAGGGGTGGGGGGGGGGGTCTCATTTCTTTATCGAAGTCTGATGATGGTATAAGGGCGGTAATCGTTCTTTTCGTAGATTAACTGCCAATTTAATAATGAACCGTTGTAAGATTAAAGGCATAGATTATCTTGCGATTATCAATTTGGGTTAGGGGTCAAAGTGTAGCTAAGCTTTTGCTCTCCCGGATTTATATTGGAAATTCTCCTCTTGATTCAGTTTTGTGCAGTGCAAAGTTGATTTTAAAAAAATGCTTTTATTTGTAATAGGCCTGCCTTCTCTAAATTATTTCAAAGATTTTCTGACTATTCTCATTATATAAATTCCTGTTATTCTGATTAGGTAATTCAACATTAGGATCCTTTAGGCCCTATTTTCTTTTGCCTAGGTATTATTGTTTCTAATATGAAATCCAAAATCTATGTTTTTGTAAAATTAGTTATATATTTTTTTTCAAAATATTTTAATATAGTTTTATTTATTATGCTATTTTTTAATATAAATAAAAATATTAAATTTAAAAAAATATTAATTATTCGAAGTAAGAAAGTATTTAAAATTAGATTTCAAAATAAAAAGTAAAACGCCTCTTTTTAAAAAGTGAATGTTTCCGACATCTCTCGATAATGCAACTTCGTCAAATATTTTTAATTAAATGCCAACCCTTTAAGATTTTGCCTACTTTGTCGCATCCTACCAGAGCACATCATGGGCCTTAATTTTTTGACCAAGCCCGGCCCGGCCCATATTTAATGTTAAAAAAAATTCCCAAGTCCGGCCCAAGCCCATAATAAGTGTCGCAAAAATAAGCCCATATAAAAAAATTTAATTTTTTTTTATTTAATGATAAACAATATTTAAATATATTTAGGCATCATTTTGTTTACAATAATGAAATTTATTGTTATTAGAAAAAAGGGCAATATTTCATTTTAGAAACTGTTTTTAATAATTTAAATTTAAAGGCCCAAGTCCAACCCAAGTCCAACCCAAGCCCATTAAAAAAAATTTAAACCCAGCCCGGCCCAGACCCGCTAGAAAATATGATATTAGGCCGAGAATATGAAGATCTCTGAATTCTACCCCCTCCCCCGTTCTAGTGGCATTGCTAATGCAGGGAGATGACTTTTAATAGTAAATTTTAAAAAAAATTAAACTATCTTAAGAGTGTCGACATCTCATGGAACCGCTAAATCTCTAAGAAACAGGGATTTAATTGTTAAGGACAATTTTATCTACCGCTTTAACAATAAATATGGCGACGTTCAATATTTCAAATGCAAAAACGAGGATTGCAACGCGAGAGGGAATTTGAAACGCGGCATTTTTAAGGTTACAAAATCTCATTTCCACGAGCCTAACATTCAAGATGTTGATCAAATACATAATCACAATTATCCCAAGAAAGCCATAGTGTAAATATAATATTTAGACTTTGTTTACTTATAAATGATCATATTTGTTATATATCTTCTCCGTTTAATTGTGATTTTCAGGTTGGCAAGTTTCCTCTCTGATTTTTCTTTCCCATTTTTTCACGGTCCTGAGCATAAATATTAGTAAGATTCATTTTCTCTCATATCCGCCGCTATCACTTTTATTCACGTCATCTTGGGCCTTCCTCTAGGTTTTGATCCTCTTACTTCCATCAATGTACATCTTATTACCCAGTCATCTTTTATTTTTACGTTCCACATACTCAAACCATCTTAGTCTATTTCTTCGCATTGCCACTCCAACCATTTCTATTCCCATCTTTGCTCACAAATCCTTACTAGGTTTTCTCTGTCTCTCAGAGATATCTCACCATCCATCTATGATGCGTGAATAATAAATTTTACTAAATCTACTTCTTCGTTTTATGGCGATTTTCAGGTTTATCCAAATATTTTAATTACTATGGTAGTTGTCAATGCCAGCTAACTTTCGGGTATAACTGCCAGAGATGAAAATCATATTCCTGAAAATAATTAAAAGTAAATATAGAAGTCAATTGTGCTAAAAAACCTATTATACACTTTTTAGTGTGTTTATCCCCTACAAAGAAAGTGGGGGAAAGGGGAACACTAAATAAATCATAATTTAAAAAAATTTATAACATCAACTATTGGTATCTAAGAAACGACGGTGCACCATGGGTAAACCATGAATGTCTTTATAATATAAAAAAATAATAATTTTAAATTAGAAATAAATCCCACGAATCGTTGAAAGGAATATACACCAACGTAATGGATGCCCACGCAGTCCAAGAAAAATCAGGCACCTGTCCTAACCTTAACCTCCAAGAATAATACTTTACAAAGATTGAGACTAAAAATGTCCGCGCCTGCGCCTCCAATTTAAAGTTGGAAATATATTTTTTTTAAAAAAACCATATAAAAATGACACGTAAATTTATTTATACCGAAGATACAAACATTGTTTACCCTGTATCTTAAAATGACCGAAATCTATATTTTGTCTTAGGCCCAGATTTTAATTTCAGGACCGAGCATCTTAGCCGGATTTTTTTCAGACAATTTTTAGTCATTTTTTGGATGGGGTTATATGAATCATCTTACAGTTTTCTATTTTATTTTGAAAATGTCCATTCTTATTGATCAAATGGGAAGGCTTTAATAAATACTACTCTTTTTTTTCCAATTTTGATTCTTTATAAAATGTGCAATTAATGTCTTAAACAAATTAGAATATCAAACTCCGTGTTAACTTTCGACGGTATTACAAATTCGGTGACAACATCGTATGTCCCAATAACCTCAGGCAACACATAGTAATATTCTTTTTTATCATTTCTATATTTGGTTATTGTGTTCCCCATACTGATTAACAATCATATTTATATTTAATACGCTGTTATTCAGCCTAACCCTGCATTCACAGTTAGGATGAATTTGGGCCGATTAACATCTGATCGAGCGCAGCTTATTTGCGATGAACTAACAGCTCATCGATTGCAGCGAATTTCATTTGATATTATTAATTTATTATTTCCACATTTATTATAAGTTTCTATCGAACACTTATAATTACAAAAATACAATATGTGAAAAAAATAATAATAATAATTATGGATGACAACAGATGATTTATCACTGTTGATCTTGGAAGTTCCTTCAGGGAATCTGATGCTTAGGTTTTTGTCAACTCCAAAATATTCAAAATGATCAAGAAAAAGCAATTATCCTCTCTATAAATAAATTTATACAAACAACGATCTATTAAACGTTCAACAAATATTGTGTAGACATAATTGATTTATATGTCTTGATTTATACATATTATATATTTAAGTAATATGAATTAAGTTTAAAAGATTAAATTGGGTTCATCGAAAATTGCTTCGAAGTTGCGAATATGAATAATTTCTAATCCAATTAAAAAAAAGTTTAAATTATTTGTTAATTTTCTTTAATTCGTCAATTTCGAATCATTTATAAATTTTTTTAATTTTTTGTCTAATACGAAAATATTCGTAATTGAATTTTTAAGTTAAGGCCACCATCAGTCAAATACATATTTTTTTGATTGCCATAAATTACATCTAATTTAAAAGCTTCTAAAACCAAGTCAAAAAAAAGATAATGCAATCAGAATGAAAGAAAATATATCTCAAAAATGGATGAAATATTTCGTATTTAAATTATAAAGTATACTTTAACCCCTTTATTTAAAAAAAATATCAGGTTTGAATATTTACTCCACGAAGTTGAAGTTTCGTGATAACTATTGTAAGTGAACGATTGTTCGAAAAATTATTGACTCTTGGAAAAAGATGCGGTTCTCTCTATATTTTTAGAACTCGGATTTGACATATTTCAATCCAAGGCGGCAAATGATGGTAATGCACAATCAATATTACCAGCCTCTAATATAATCGATGATGACATCGGATAGCGATAACCGATATAACAGCTGAAAGGATATATGGCAAATTAACATTTTTTAAAAAATAAAAAATTTTAAAAAAAATTGTATTTTCACGTGTTATCTCAATAAAATCATTTTATCTTTTTTAAAGCAATCGGTTAATTAAATATATGGGAAGATCATTAATTATTGAATTTTATCGTCTGCTTTTTGAAGAAGAAATATTTCTAAATATTCAATTTTTATAGTACGCATAGCGTTTACATTTTGCCGTAATTTTAAATAAAAAAAACGTAACGCGTCCCTTGTTTAAATTGAGGTTGTCTTTTTATTAATATCCGTCTATTCAAAATTTTAAATGAGTTGTAAAAAAAAAAGGATTTGTCTTTGAAAATTATATTTATCGTCTGCGTTCTTATTTTCTTTGAAATTTCTTAAATATTCCTTTTTAGGATATAATTAAGTTATTTTTTTATTACATTTTATATAACATACAAAACGAAGAATAAATAAAAGTATTGAAAAAGCAAACCTGTTTGCGTTTTTTTTAAATGGTTAACACATAAAGGTAATTTTACAAATTTTCACGAGGCCATTTGAAAGGCATTGGCGCTTGCAGTGCTCAATTTGTTCGCAATACAAAAGAGAGCTCTGTTACATTTTATATAATTTAATTTATAATATTAATGAAATTTTTTAAATTGATGTGCTTTTTTTGCACTATATATAATTCTAATGTAAGTTTGCAAACAAAAACGGCCCAGTTTTTTTTTTAGAAGTTCGAAGCGATGGTGTATTATTTTATAAGAACCGAATCTGTACCCTTCATCGTTATTTTTATCCAAACCAAATAAATTTTAGATCGGGTTTTTTTCAGGTTCGGGTTAAGGCAAATTTAGAGAAGAAAAAAAAGATTAAATTGGAACAAGGGTCTAAGAATTTTGAAAAGGCAATCATTATAAATTTCCAGAGAAGTTTAATGTTCGTTACTAAGAAATAGCCTCATTGATCAGTTTCAACTTTAAGCATGTTTTTCTTTCTATCTTTCCATTCCCAATCTTCACTAAAGAAATATTTGGCTTTTAATGTTGCTCAGCTGCTCTGCACTGTTTTTATACAATTTTTTTTTATAAAAACCGTGCAGATATGTTGCAAAAGAAAACTCGTTTTATCGAAAATTATGTGTCATTTGGTAATTTAATACAAAGAATTTAAATTACAGCTGGTGGGTTAGTGAGTATAAATTTTTTCTTATTTTCCATATTTTACCGATAATATAGTTGTCATTTAAGTAGTTAATTTCAAAGTAAACCTATAAGATATAGACTTAATTACAAAAGTGTTACATGACATTAGTGGCCCTAAATTTTTTTGAAAAAATCTCTCCTGTCTGTCTTGATTAATTTTTTTTTATTCGTCCTAAAAAGCCGACCATAAATATTAGCGCCTTTTTTCTTGCAAGAATTTTACTATATATATTATTTATTTGACAAAATATAATGGATATCCTAATTAAAAAGTTAAGTCCGACCGAATCCTGAATTATTTTTTTAGAAATAGACACCGGGCCCAGGCCGTGATTTGTAGATTCCTACAAAACATGTTGTAAGTCTAAAGGTGCCTTTATTGTGTTTCCCAACAATTCTAAATTGTCTGAGGATGGCAAATATTTAATGGAAGGCATTGCCCTTAATTGGGATCAAAATATAGACGCTCTTCACACATTACCTTGTTTAGAATATATTTTTCGACACGGTTTTTAATCAGGAAATATATTTCATGCTAATTTAATGCTATGCATTAGAATGTCTATATTGAAGCAATGAATGCCTTCAATAATTTAATGTTTATTAATTTTATTATCACTATGATAAGAAAATGAATATTTAGTTAATTTTTTGGATTTCATTTTATAATTTTGCTATTCAATCAAGCAGGGACCCGATGCGGTTCAGTATGTAAAAAATTATAATGGTTACGGTTCTTAAGAAGAAATTTATAAAGGTTCGGTTCAGCTAATTATAAAGGTTCATTACGGTTAGAAATTTTTTATTGAAGCAACACCATCTTTTAATTTATTTTTATTATAAGCATCTATGAATTATATATAAAAAATATATGATTCAAAATAACTCATTTTTAATATAAATGGATTCCTTTTCGTTCGTTGTGATGATAACACAAATTTTAGCACCGAAAAAGCCCTTTCTACAGAAACTTATGTTTCGGGAACCGCCAGTACTATAAGAGCAAGTTTATATAATTCTGGATATTCAAATTATTTCCATTTCTAAAATATAAAAACTGAACCGGTTTAACCGTTTTTTATAAAGGTTCTTTTTACTCCTTCAAAAAATAATTATATCGGTTCGGTTACGGTTCAGATATTTATAATGGTTTAACGGTTCGTTAAGGTTCACTCCGGGTCCGCTGCAATCAAGCAAGAAAAATAACAAATATATAACATTTATATTTTTCGAGTCTCGGGCCAGGCCTATATTTTATTACTATAACTACAAATATGCAGTGAATTCTGACCATGTTGACAGATTTTATCTGCATAAAATTTCAATGATTTTGCCTTTTTTTAAAACGACTTATTTTTAAACCATTCTTTGGTTCGATAGTACTTTCTTTAAAAAAATGAATAAACAATTATCAGGAATGGTTCCCTTTTTTGGGAGGATTCTTCAGTGCCATTTTTCTTCCCTTATTTATAGCAAAAAATATGGCTTTCGGTACCAACATTAAGCAAGGTCTATAAAGTTAGAAGAATTGATGACAACAAGACGATATTTACTCTATACCAGCCCATTTTATTCTCTATCTTCGTGAATAGCACACCATAAAATATAGATTAACACGAATTTTGGTCCCCTTCCTAATTTATGTAGATACTGACCATACGCCACTTAATAATTATTTACGATTATATCAATTCACGCAACAAAAGTATTTATGAAACACCTATAATAAATATAATTATATACACATTATAATTTTTATCTCTTTTTTTTTAAAAAAAACTTTCATTTTTGAATGATAAAAATTAAAAAAAAAAAAATTTTAATGACGAATTACAAAATAATATAGATTAAATATCTGAATTTAAAAAAAATAAATATATATACCGACTCACAGTTATAACGTCTCTCATGGACCGGAAACGTCAAAAAAATTTAAAAGCTAGAAAAAAATTGTTATATCCTGGAAACACGGGAAATTAATAAGATTTTGCAGGCTAATAAGCGTGAAATACCGGCGATGTCGCTCAGCGATGCGTAATTTTATGAAATAAAGTAATGTTAAATTATACAGCTATACTATCGTTTAACAATGAATTACGTAACGCATAAGCGATATCGCGGTTAAATATAAACAAGGCCCAAGTCAAAAAACGCGTAAAGTATTGTAAGTGCTTTTAAACTAAAAAAATAATAAAAATTCGTATACAAATTTTTTTTTTTACACAAGGGCGGCAAATAAAAACACTAATATCTAGTGTTGTTAAACGGCTTGTTTTGAGCCGATTTTTAAAAAACGGCTAACTCAATAATTTTAGCCAGAAAAATATTGCCTAAGCCTAAAGATTTCGCTAATAGATGTCCTGGATATCTATGAGCAAAATCTTTAGGCTTGCTTAATAATTTTCTGAATAAAACGTTGAGTTAGCCGTTTTTAAAAATTGGCTCAAATCGAGCCGTTTAACAACACTACCAAACTTTAAACCTTAGCTGGCCAGTGGACAGATAATGTTAAAATGTATAAACCTTTATATACTTTAATAATATAGAATAAATAGGCTCGCGTTTTCCCTTTAATACGGATGCGTAATGTGTATTTTAAAATTTGATATTCATTTCTTTCTTTAAATTAAATATATAAACTATAAATACATAAATAAAAGAAACAATATTTTAAGTTTTTTAAATACAATAAATTTTACAGACAAAAAAAATTACTAATTTTCATTTAAAAAAAACTTTTAAAAAAAGTATATTTTAAAATATTATAAATATTTTTTTCAAAAAAAAAAACGCATTCAAATATTTTAGAAATAGCTAATCTAGTTGATTCGATAATGGGTGGTGTATTTATATTTAAATAAGATAATGGCCAAGATGTAAAATCTAATTTATTTGGTAGATAAATGATACAAAAGGGTTGCCCCATTAATCTTGTTTGCTTCTTTTCATTAGTTGCTACTACCCAAACTACTGAGACTAAGAATAGCCATGAATATGTATACTATATCAAGGTACAACTGAAGTGCTCCAAATATGTATTCTTCTGGACTTAGAGCGTACTTTTTGTTCCCCATCAGAGTCTGCGTATCGTAGGCCAGATACTGATATAAAAATATATGATAAAAATGTATATAAATGAATGGTATGTAGAGACATGGAGGGTAAGACCAAAGCTCGGGTATAAGGGCTGGACCTAATAAAAAATCCCAGATAACCCCGGAACGGGCCTAAGAAACTTTTTTCTCCATCAGCCTGGCCTGGGCGGTTGAATTGGTACTTCTGCAGGTCTCTGATAGTATGTATTTTTAAATGGACCTGATAAATTTGAAAACTAAATTATTATCAATATCGTTATCTCATGTGTTCCTTGAGAGATATAAGGAGAGGGGTTATTGATTAGTAGTGAAAAAAATGACTGGAATTTTAAAATTGGCTCAAATCGAGCCGTTTAACAACAATAGTTAGAAGTAAAGAAAATGATTGATGGGGTAACAATCTAATAATTATAAAAAAAATCTCGAAAAATTAAAAACATTGTTATAGATTGAAAAATCCGTGGTAAAGAAGTAAGAACCATATTTTTTTTTCTTTAAAAGTATAATCTTGTATATTTTCGGCCAAAAATAATATTATGTACGCCTGGAGTTTTGCTCAAAGATGGCAGAAATGTATAGAAGACATCTATTAGCGAAATCTCGAGGCATGCGCAATATCATTTTGATTAAAATCCTAATTTAAAATAAAAGGCTAATACCATTCAAATGAATTTTAAACAATAAATATATTTAATTGTATTACAATATTTACCCCCATAAAGAGCAAGGCCATAAAAGCGGCATAAACCGTATTCATTATCTAAAATATAATAATAATATATTATATAATCATAATCATGTTCAAATAATAATTGAATTAAAAATCTAAAGCTAGGCAAAACCCGGTTTGTAAAAATTGTATCATTTATATGAGCTAGTGATCTGCATCGGGCCTAATTTTTCAAGACCGGCCTGGCCCGAAATTTTTTAAAAAAGTTTTGCCAGCCCGGCTTGAACCAAAAATTTTTTTTTTAAAAATTTACCGACCCGGCCAGGCCCGAATTTATTTAAATATAAAAATTAATTTTTATAATTACTCAAAATATAAGACATATGTTATATGTCGTTTAGTTTCAATAAATAAAATCAAATATTTTTATTTTACATAAAAAATTTAATATAAACTTGATAAATTTAGATATATTTTAAAAAAATCTCAAGGTCCGACCCGGTCCGAATTTTTTTTTAAATATTAAGCCCGATCCGACCCGAACCCATTTATTTTAAATAGAATTATGCCCGAGCCTGGTCCAATGCCGGCCAGGCCGGGCCTCACTTTGCAGATCTCTAATATGAGCTACCGTCGCAAGGACCTTCTAGGGCGATCCTATCAAAATCAGCTAAAAAAAATCAAAACTACCTTCCTTATACCCCCCCCCCTTTTAATTTTATTCAAATGATGCTATTTTCATAACTGGTTACAAGCATAAAATTTTAATCATGCGTCATGCCCCTCCCTCTTTAATGGTAGAAGTTAATGATGCTAAACTGCTAGATTTTTAAAAACGACTCACGCCAATAATATTACTCAAGCCTGGAGAGTTTGCTCATAGATGGCAAAAATGGTTTAGACATCTATTAACAAAATCTCGAAGCTGGTGTAATTTTTTTTCTTGAGTAAAATATTGGGTATGCCGCTTTTAAAAATGAGGCTATTTAACACTAGTAGAAGTCTTTGTATCTCTGTCAATGACATATAATAATACCTAGACTGATGATGCATTCAGAATTATTGAAAGCGTCGTTGAATGCAAATCAGCTGGATCCGTCATTTTGGCAACCCATATAGTAATTATTCTCACGTTAAAAACTACTATTAAATTTGATAACTTGTTTCCTTATTATCTCGACGAATCAGACAATTCTTTAATAAAGTTTGTGTCAGACATACGAATAAATTGGCCTCTCGCTTAGAATTTTTAATAATGATATGGGTAATCAAAATAGCGTCCCCAGCTGTTTTCATTGATATGATATACACTTTTAATGAATGCTCGTCAGTCTAGGTATTATTATATGCCATTGATCACTTTGGACCTTTATAAAAAAAATACTAAAGTTAAATTTAAACCTTTATCAAACCTTATACCATATACAATTACTCGGTTTTTTAAAAATAAATAAATAAATGTGCATCATATTATAAATTATAAATGGCAGGCCTATCTCGAACTAAGCGAAATGAACACCATTTTTGCGAATTGTATTTCGCGATAGCCGTGATGTTATTGAAATATTTGGCAGAGGCGTAACGCAAAAAGATATTGGAACACACACCTAGGAATATAAGATCTTAAGGGTCATTTCCCCTAGTTTGATCCCTGAATTTGCGCCACGCGGGTCTGTCACGCCTCTGATGTTTTAGGGCTTTTATGTTGATAGGCGAATTCAGATTTAACTCGCTTTAGTTCGAGGTGGGCCTAATAAGCGAGTCATCATAAAGTGAAGAATATTTACCTTGTTGTGGGTGAATATGGTTAAGATCCCAAAAACAAAAAGGATTATACAGAATACGAACAAGATACCACCAAGCTTCGTGAAATCAAACTAAAAAAAATATAAATGAAAATTATTATTTTTGAAGTCGTCGAGGAAGAGGAAGAAACTTTATAAAATATTGAGAAGCTCGAATGGGGCAGGCCAGTAACTTATCGACTCGATACTAACATCCAACTGTATACACGTGTCAATTAAAACCAACTATATACGTGTCAATGAAAAATCTATTTTTTTGGAGACGATTTATTTTAAAATGGTTTAAATATAAGCAGCGGAGATAATCGGGAAGAAGGGCAATTTTTTTTGATATGCTATTAAAGTTTCTTTGAAAATAAATCATTTGCTTATCAAATATTTTTCCAATTCTATTTTTTAAGGAATAAAAATGGTCGGTTTGCGTTACTATGATGCCGCCACATTCGAAACCGTTCTCGGAAGGTTTTACGAGAGCTCTGGAACATCCGAAAATGTAATTATAGCAAATTTTAAAAAAAAATTATTTTCCTGTTAGGTTTGCCCCTTTTGTATTTTAAATGGGGTGTTTCTTGTTAATCCATGCCTTTTAAGCCTTTGTTTCTTAAATATCAGTGAACGAATTTCTCAAGATTGCACAAATTAAAAACACTTTAAACTATATGTTTTTCTATAAAAAAAATATTAAAAATAAGTTGGCTGCTGATAAAAAATTTTTTTAAAATTCTTATCATGAAAATAAATTATTATTTTTTTTACCCTTGTCTGTATGGAAAATAAGATGACGGCAAAGCATACTACACAGCATATACCCATAGCCATCAAAACCATGTTGGTATTCTTAAATCTGTAAAAAAAAAATATCTCTCCGTTAAATTCCAATATAAAAAAAAAATTACCACTTATTATATATTCAAAAAAAACAAATAAAATAGGTTTAAATAATAATTCGCTTACGAACTGACAACACCCATCATATAGGCCATAGCTATTGTCTGTCGCGTTTCGTTTTGAGATCGGTTATTATTTTATATAATTAAAAATTGATATATGAGGAAGAATATATATATATATAATCTTTTATTATTTTAAGAAATTCCCTTAAAAAATCAACTTTTTGGCCATTTAGGGTTACATCCAAACTTGATAAAATAATTATACGCATTATCTGTTTCAACAGTGGTTATTTAATTATTCGCCATAATAAAAATAAATTATTCATAAGGATAGAAAGACTCACAAAGATGGTCAAGCAAATGAAATTTCCAGGAACTTTGCGTCTCAGATCATTGCAACACACGAGGGCTAAATACACTCCAAAGAATATGGCACTTTAATCAAATGAATGAAGAACGAAAAAAAAAAGAATTATGGAGAAAGAAATTTTTTAAAAAAATATATTTTGGTAAAAGATTTAAGGGTATAGTTTTAAAATACTTACAATGCCATGTAATATGTCCATATGTTTCTCATGACATAAAACTTTACCTCGGGGCTATAAATGAATTAAATAATATATAAAATATGTTAGCAATATTATACAATTTGGCATCTCTTACAATGCGAACATTCAGGGGGTAATTACCCGTCATTATCATTAACTAGGTGGTCAAGGAACAGATAGAGAATCTATGTAAAATTCAATAGGTTACCGATAAGGAAGTTAAAAATGCTATATATACGTAAAAAAATTTCACAAAAAAACTTAACATGAAATGTTTAAGAAAGGAGTCACGCTACTTAAAACTATCATTAAAAAAAATTTAACCGTTCCGTCTCCCAAAACCTGAGTCCGAAAGACCGTGTGGAGGCGGAACGACTCCTAATTCTCATTCGGTAACGAGGGTGAAGTCGTTTCGCCGAAAAAAATCGCCGGGAGAATATTAAATTTATGGGAATTATATGGTACAATGCTTTAACATCGTCTTTTAATCAAAGCTTTCGATAAAACTTAATTTTTTACGTAAAATGTGGAGAACGACTAGTTAACGGCACCCAAGGAAAGGGAGTTCTTAAAGTGTATAACAGGGTATAATTATATATTAGAGGGGCAGAGAGATCCGTAAGGCTCGTTTTAAAAGACACAGGACCCCACGATTGCGTCAGAGGGTAAACGTTATAAATTTTACAATATATTCGGGACTATCTGGCACATCGATAATTCTAATTTTTAAAAAAAATATAGCTTAGTGCGTCATTCACCTTTTTCAAGTATATTGAATTTTTTTTCTCTCACGGATAGTTTATTATGACATTAATTATCATAAAATTTAATATATCCACTTCCATGAACCCATCTGCGATAAGTGGGGATCATCGAAAGAAAGGGGGGAGAGGCTAGCTTATTCTCGCAAGTCGTGAGCCGTATCGAATTTTTTATATTAAGGTTGTTCGAATTTCTTTGAAATTAGTTTGGTCCCCATGATAAGGTCATTTGCGTGATTTTGACTCTTAACTCTTACCATCATTTTTAAAATATGTGATGACGCCCATTTAGGAAAAAGGGGGGGGGGGATATATATAGTTGGTTCCTTAATTTATGGGTTTTGAAACCCATTTTGAAAATCAGGAATTTTCGGGATCTTACGATAGGAAATTTAGCCAACGGTACTTTGATAAATAATTGATTAGTAGGGAAATTCGATTTTCGGATTGATGTCACGCCACCTGAAGTCTCGCATCTTATGTATGTACGAAAGGTTTAGGAATTGTTAGAAATAATTCCACTAATGAGGAGTCGGTTAAAGTGCCTCTTCCTCCACCTCCCATTTATGGTTAATTTTGCATATATAATATTCATTTTTTTATGGATTTGTCCAAAGACGGTAAAATAAAAATTAATCGAAATATCAGATCGGAGAAAAATGTATGGATCGGCCCAGCCCTAAATATGACAAACCAGTAACAGAATCGCGGGGACGTGTGTCATTCAAAACAAGCCTTGCTTAAGAATTTCATTCCTTTTGGAGATTCTTTTCTCCGCGCCTAAAATACATACTCTACTCTGTATTTAGATTTGATAACTTCCATCGTAAATCTCGTTAATTGGGATCGAACATTTCCTCGAATAAAATGAAGTATTTTAATTGTTAGGCTTGTTATGATTTAAAATTGCGATGCACAATATTGTTTCTAGAAATATTAAATTTGATCTTATGGCGTTCATTTTAGGTGTGAAAGGGATATAGGCGGATCACAGGTACACCTTGTGCCTACTCAATTAGTTTAGCTATAAAATGAGCCATTTTGGCGATTTTTTAGTAAAATATATAAATTATGTATAAAATTTACATGAATATGAAAACGGCGATTATCCCAGCGGTTAATGCCAGTTGGCAGAGGAGGATAAGATATACCTTCACAAAGGGGAAGGGGAGATGGGACAAATAAAGAAATAAAAAAATATTTTGTGCAAATTTTATATCTAAGAATATTTTGATAAAAAAAATCGTTAGACAGAACGTGGAGTTCTTGATAATACTTAAACTTATTGTGGAAGTGAGAGAGAACTTAAAATGGAAAGCCAATTATTTACCCGCATTTTTAAAAAAAAGTGAAAAATGTCTTATTTTTAGTTTAACTATATATATATATCAGAGATCTACAGGCTTGGCTCTAAACCCGGTCCGGATTTTAATTTTTTTAAAATATACCCAGGCCGGCCCGGATATTAATTTTTTTAAATACCCGGGCTGGGCCGTAAAAAATTGGAAAAAAAACCGGGCCGGGCGGGCCATTCAAATGGTACCTCTGCAAATCTTTGATATAGTATATATAATATATATTACAAAGTGATAGAAAATATCGTAAATATCCACCAAGGATATGCGAAATTCTCAAAATGAATAATAAATTATAAAAGAAAAAAAAAGAAAATATTTAAATATATTTTTTTTCAAAAAATATCCGGAAAAAAAAAGAAGATAATTTCGATCATTTTGAGAATTACATATTCTGACCATCAGTTTTCCGTTCATTTATCATAAAAAATTTTTTTTTTAAAATGTCAGGATAATTTTTAAAATTAAAGAATAATTATTCTTAAACTCCAAAATAAACATTTTTTAGCAGTTAAAAACAAGATATTTTGAAAATAATGAATTATTTTTTGAATTTTTCTTTGGTAATTATAAAATAAATTTTTACATTTGTTTTAACGTTTCTGTTTTAAAAAAAAAGTTAGTTAATATCGTGCTGTCTCTGTGTTTTATATATTATTTTAGGATAACTCACTTAATCTTTTTTTCTTAAAAAGAAAATATGGTTCTATAGTGCACACAAATTGAGTGTTTACGTTTTGCCGTAATTTTTTAATAAAAAAAACTAACGCATCCATTGTCTAAATTGAGGTTGCCTATTTATTAATATCGTCGATTCAAAATTTTAAATAAGTTCTAAAAAAAAGAATAGTCTTTGAAAATTATATTATCGTCTGCCTTCTTCTTTCTTTAATTTCTAAATATTCCTTTTTTAGGATATAAGTAAGTTATTTAAATTACATTTTTATACAATATTACAAAGTGTATAGTAAAAAAAAAGTAATGAAAAAGCAAAACTATTTGCTTTTTTTAAAATGATTGCTTACGCCAAAAGGTAATTTTATCAATTTACATGAGGCCATTTGAAATGCATTATTTGCGCTTGCAACGCAGTGTTTGAAACGCTCAATTTGTGCGCACTATTATGGTCCACTAGAAACTAGAAGTGGGTGGGGTCCAGAAGCTCGGCCCGCGAGTGGAGAAATGTAATTCTCGGTCAGGCTAATTGTACGAAATCATTTTTACGGGACGGGCCGTCAAATTCTATGGGAAGGGTGCCAATCCACCGCGACCTCTACTAGAAATTCCAATTACAAACGTAATTTTTTTGAGTTAAAAAAAAATTTCAACGATAAGGCGATAGTTTAATGGGTATTGCGTGATTATTTGCATTTTAAATGATTAAAAATTAATAAATTAAAGTTACTTCCATAGGTTTGTCAAAAATTTGTAAGGTGGGGTATTCACATATTGGAATGTATTTCCGGCAAAATCTGATCGTTAAATTTAATAAAACGCGCTCAATCAATAATTTAAAATGCAAAACCAACTGCGCATGTTGGGAAAACACATTATCGCCAACACCAAAAATTTAAGTAAACAAATTTATTTTAAAACGATGGGCGGGAGAGTTTGTGGGTTAACCCGCCCTCCCCATTGCAGACCTCTAACTTAACTCACAATTATTTTCTTTGTTATATAAATTGCTAATGCGCATGCGCTTCAATAGCGCGATGATTGGATAATTTTCCAACCTTATTTTCTCTAAAAAAAAATATATAATAGGTAAAATTTTACTTTACGAATGAATGCCTTCCTTATAGCTTTATCGGAAAAGGAGGTGCCTGCCCATTCTGTCCCGTATTCTCCTGGGCTCGCCGCATCTTAAAATTTTTTTTTAACAATAAATATTAGTAATTGAAAAAAAGTATTCAATTTTTTTAAACTAAAAAAATTCTTTCAAGAGGTAGAACTTTACAACTTAAAATGATCACCTAATAAAAAAAACAAATCTACAAAATGAGCGAATCTAGAATTCGGCTATAAATAACGAACTTGGAATTTTAGCAGAGATGCACGATTTAGGAAGGAAGGAAAGAAAGAAAAAACTGCGCGGGGTTTGGGAAACCAAATATTTATGGAGCCCGAAGTTTACAAGATAACCCAAACTAAAGGGAAATGCTCTTTAAAAAAATTTTGTTTTTTGTAGAGGGCAGCAAGATTTTCAAAGTACACCTCTGGTGAGATATCACTTTATACTACTGAAAATTTTTTTTTGTGTTTGTTTTACTAAGTAAATTGTTTGCCATATTGGGTGTCTTAGGAAATTATTTATGTTATTTAAAATATCCGCGTACATTTCCAAGTTTTCCTAGACCCGTCAAATGTACAGTTCCGGGTAGCGTTGTTAAACGGCTCGATTCGAGTCGATTCTTAAAAATGGCTAACTCAATATCGCTAATATATCCATCCATACCTCTGTGGCATCCATGACCGGAATCTTCAGGCTTCTGGCGTAATATTTTTCTGTGATTAAATATTGAGTTAGCCCGTTTTTAAAAATCGGTCAAAACGAGCCGTTTAACAACACTAGTTCTGGCCCATTCATCAGCCGAAAAGAGGATCGTAAGATATGAAGAACTTTGTTTAATAATTTATTTTTAAAAAAATTTAATCCCCCCCCCTCCCAAAGATTTCGAACAAAATGGGTCCTAGGACTTTAGGGTATAACTAAACCCGGGATCGGGACCGTAACAAATATCAGCTGAGTTTTTAGGTTCAGAAAAACAATGCTAGGTTCATGATAAATAATAATATCATAATTATTTTTGGTACAGCTTAAATTAATGGTGACCGCGTTTCGAGGATTAAGCTAAGCCAGAGAATACGTAGCTAAACTAAAACTATGCAAATTTATGTAGTTTTCTTTCATTAAAAAAATATATATTACATGCCGAGCCGAACAATTTCAGCGTAATATATTCTACTGGACCGGGTATAAGTAATTATGAGCGGGTCCCGACTCCAGCTATAACTGATCCGTTTAATAGATAATTAATTTAATTAAAATAATGCAACATTTTTAACAAGAGAAATTTAAATATTTAAACAAGTGAGCTTGTTTATCCATAAAATTGATGTATAAGTAATATATACAAAATGAATGTATGTATATTCCATTAAAAACATTGTCTAGGGAGTTATTTCATCAAGGGAATATTTTTTTTTTAAATTATTTATTATTATTAATTATAAAAAATTTGATTTAAATCAAAAATCGCGATTTAATCAAATAAATCAAAAAAAAATTAAGATTTTTGCGAACCTTAATTTGTAGTCAGCTATTGTCCAACCTTTACCGCGTTATAACCCCCTTAAAAAAATTACGTGACAATGCGTTCAAATCGTGTCCCGTAGAAACTTTGCGATTTTCTACTAATCTTTTAACGTTTTTGTTAAATATTCTAACAATTTATTAGGCCCTATTCTGGTACGATATAAGTGTTGTTAAAAAGTCCGATTTGGGACGTTTTTTCGAAACGGCCCCCGATTAAGATTTCAGCTAAAACCAATATTATGTAAGCATCGAGATTTGGCCAATAGATGTCCAAGCATTTCTGCCAGCTATGCGCAGAATCTTAAAATCGACTTGAATCGGACTTTTTAACAACACTAGGGTACGACACAATTTTGATATTTAAAGCTGTTTAGTGTAGAGCATAAAACAGCTTTTGAACTAGGGACAGGACACCCTACTTTTGGTTTGTTTTTTTAAAGAGTTTGGTGGCATTTGCACTTTTTAGGCGGTTTGAGACGAAGCTCAATAGCCGGCTAAACAGTCAGCTGTTTAGTAAAATTAGTCAAACCTATATACTGGCATCAGTGCTGTAAACATTTTAATCGCTCCTAAGCAAGCGCTCTTATCGTTCCTTTTTCCGTTATTTTATATATCACAAAACTAATTATGTTATATATAATAATTTTATTTAAATAATTTATGCGTAGTTCGTATTATTAAATGCCTATCCGGTATAATTACAAGATTATATTATATTATTATTTTTTTTTAAAAAAAAATTGTAAGGAACATTTTTATAATATTAATTTTTAAAAGGCCATTTAAGCGTTTAAGAAAATTTAACGCTATTTTATTTAAATTTATATATTTTTTTTAAATTAAATTATTTGTTTAAATTTTATACATCTAATTATTGGTTAAAATAAATAAATAAATAATAGCTTATTCCTCTAATAATCGTAAAAATTGTCAATACCCAGTAAAAGATATAATAATCAACGAATCCTACATTTAGGGCATATAACAAGTAAATACCCGGATATTAGAACTGATACCGTTTGAAATACGGCAAGTTTTGTCCCGGTTATTATAAGACAAGCGGGTTAAAAAAAATAATTATACATTGAGCGGGAAGGGTGAATTTTAAAAAATATTAATGGCCGGAACAATTACATATAATAATAATAATACGTAGACTGACGAATTCATAATAATGCATTTGAAAGCGTCGTTGAATGCCAATCAGCTGGACCCGCCATTTTGGTAACCCATATAGTAATTATTATCATGTTAAAAACTATTATTTAAATTGATAACTCGCTTCCTTATTATCTCGATGATCAGGCAATTCTTTAATAAAGTTTGCGTCAGACATAGGAATGAATTGGCCGGCCTCTCATTTATAATTATTAATAATGACATGGGTAATCAAAACAAAATGGCGCCCCCAGCTGTTTCATTGATGTACACTTTTAATGAATGCCATCGTCATTCTAGGTATTATTATATGTCATTTGGCTGGAATGAGCGAGGCGGACTTATACTAATTAAAAAAAAATTCATAATGCATAAAATAACGCGAATATTTTTTCTTCATGACAGAGTTAAAAAAAAATTAAACGATTAGCGGGTGGTTAAAACCCGATCATCCGGGTATTTAACCGAGTTTACAGTTAAAATAAATCAATCCGGCCGCCAAATTCTTCCCGTATTTAACATCTCGACCAATTAGATACCCGACGACAAAATGGATTATCACTTACAAATGTGATGGGGGGAACAAAAAATTCTTCAAAGATCAATACAAAATTTAAATTATAAATAGAATTTTCTAAAAAAAAAATTTTTTATTGATTCGCACAAAATTTTTCGCGTTTATAAATTATAAATTATAAATAACTATTTTTTTTATTTACATTCTTCTTTTTTTTTCTTTTAAGTATTGATTCGATTTCACTGCCTTAACCCAAATAACACACTATCGCATTAATTTTTATCGATTATTTTTTTTTAACTCCCGCCCATCCCCTTCTCTCATGATTAGATCAATCAATAAGAATAAGAATTATTCGATTGAGAGATTAGATAATAAAATATAATATAATAACAAGAATTGAGGGATTAATCAAAAGTAATTAAAATAGGTATTATTTCATCAAAGAAATATTGATTTTATAAGAATGTTGTTATTGTGTAACAAATATTGGTTCTTGTAAAAAAAATCATTTTAATCTCTATAGTAAATCTTTCCATTACGAGATTTTGTCTTTTGTTTACAATATAGATTTTTCCGAGTGGAACCATCCTTTAAAAATATATTTGAATTATTTTTCTTTAGGTAAATAATTTAATGACGTATTTATATAATTGTATGTTGATAAATCATTTTTATAAGTGAATAATGAATATAATAAAATAAATTTTAAAAAATTTTATTTAAAAAAAAAGCTGATGTTTATGTAATTTTAAATATATTTTATTCCTTTGTATTCGGAAATCGGAACCTTGAACCCGGTTCGGAGATTTTTCACTGAACTCGAATCTTTTTATCTTAGATAAAGGGTTCTTAGTTTTGGGTCGAATGACCCCCAAAAAACTATCTTACGTTTCAAATTATATCCATGTCCTACAAACTTCAGCCAACCCTCAGCTACGAAAAATCTAGCAACCATGAAGGAATCTCCTCTAGGAAAGCCTCCCCCCTCCCGAATGTGATCTTCCATTTTTATATTATCAGTAGGGAAGTACCGATATTTTTTTATAGGATCGGATAGGGCCGATATTTCACCCATTTTAAATATTGGTTATCAGCCAATATTATAAAATTTTCCGATCCGATCAGTTATAAAATGGCGTCTTTAACAAAAATAAAATGTTATAAATTTTTTTTAAAAAAAGTTATAAAATCATTTATTTTTATAAATAAAATCGAAATCCATTTTTATGTAATATTTTTTTAATATTAATTAATTAATAAACATTCTGCCATATTGTTATTTTTTTTGGGGCATTCTCTTTATCAGAATCAGCTTTTAGTGAAGCTGGTGATATTGACAGTCACCATCGCCGCAGGCTGACCTCTGATAAATTGGAAATTTTGTTATTTCTAAAAAGAAATCTTTGATACATTTAAATATTATTTTTTTAAAATTTCATATATATTTGTTTATTACTTATTATGTATATAGATTAAATGTATTACTTATTATATAAAACTGATTTAACAATAAAAATATTTTATTGAATTGAATATAAACTATAACTGATCATTATAATATATTTAAATGACATAAGTTATGGTATAGTTATATTATAGATGTTATACTAATAAAAAGTATAATAAAAATTTAAACCATTGGTATCGAATACAAAATTAGATATGATATCGGATCGGTAATTGGTGGATATCAATTTAATATTGGGAATATCGGATCGGCCTCCAAAAAGTGGTATCGGTACACCCCTAATTATCAGGAATAGGGAGGACTGAGATCAAGCATCCAATTCTGAGAGAGATGATCTCTTGAAAATGAAGAAAGGAATTGCGCAAAGCACAGGTTCAAGTCCTGTAAATAGTAATCGAATTATAAATCGATCCTCTAAATGTGCCAATCAGGGGTGCAAGACATAGAAAAAAACATGAACCCCTAGTGTCAAGGCAACCGAGCGATAAAAAGCGAGAATTAATGAAAATGATAGTGATTGTGTATGACTCAATATAAAAAATAAACAAATTATATTTTTTTAAAAAGGTAAAAATGTTATGACTCACTCTTCAGTAACTTAAGCAAATATTAAAAAAAAAATTGTTAGCGTTTTTTGAAGGCGTCTAACTTTGAATCGCTTAAATTTGGGAGCGTTTTTATTTAAAAATTTTTTTTAATGTGTAATGTGCTTATTCCATTCCAGTAACCAACAAGGCGTAGAATACAAAATTCTCCTTGCCGTGAACTTTAGGTCAACTTTTTAACTTTTTATATGATTACGGGCCTAAAATATGAGATTTTATTATGCATTTTGATTGGTTATCCAAAATGCTCATGTATAAATGAGCCCGGGCCTTAATGGAGGTTAGGGTTAGATTATGAAGGTTGGGGAAATTTTAATTATAAAAGTTTTAAAAATGAATCTTTTCCTACTCTTGGCAAATAATATAAAAAAAAGCAATAATTTGCCAAAAATGTTTTTTTCAAAAAAACAAAAACAAAATTAAAAAAATCAATTATTTTTTATTGACATAATTATAACGTCACATAACACAGGTAAAATAATCGATAACCTTTTTATTTTTTAAAAAAAATAAACTGCTTTTTCTTCTAAAAAAGAAAAAAAATTTTGGCAGGCAAAGGAATTCGAAGATAAATAAATAAAGTATGTGGAAAATAGTCAATGTGGCTATGAAGAACTAAGAAGTTTTGGAATTTTGATAAATCTAAACATCAGGAATCTAAGAAAAGTTGGCAGATTTGCTGTAGTATTAAACCTTTTTATATATAAACTTAATCTGCTGACCGGATACTGCACTTAAATGGAATATGATTGGCGAATAAAACATTTCCTAAGATTTATTTAGGTTTACACCGATCATAAGATGAGAGATCAGGAATTTGGAAAAAAAAAGCTAAAAATCTTTAAAGTGTTAAGTCGATTCAACGACCTAATCTAAGAATCGTAAAAATAAACGAAACATAAATACTGCTTTGAAAATAGATTAAATTAATTTAACAAAATACATCAACTACATACATATAACCCACTCGATTTTGCAAAAGAATAAATATGATAGACCTGCATAGTTATATTTTAGCATGATCCTGCCCGGATTTTTTCGGCTTTAAAATATATTAAATGTTTTTTTTAATTTTTATATATGTTATCGTCAATTTGTATTTTTCCGGTAATGTCTTATTTTTACAACTTTTAAAACATTTTTTGAGCTCGTTTTAATAAATTTAAAATTCGGATTTTACCAGAAATATTTACTATCATGTTTGGAGATGCCTATCTTATGAATTGTAGAAAATTTTACTGTTAACCTTTGAGTAGTCGTTTATAGTTTATATAAAAAAATATATGGAAAATCGAATATAAATTATTTTAAGTTTAAAAGTTTACGAATAAATTGTCTGAAATTCATAGGATAGGTATTCCAAACATGATGGAATACATTTCCGATAAAATCGGATTTTTAAATTTTTTAAAAAACGTGCTCAAAAAATGATTTAATGTTGAAAAAATAACATATTGCTGGAAAAAAACACATTGACGCTAACATAATATAATATGGGAGATTTAAAATATTTGGTTTTAAAATATAGTGCCTGGTCCGAGTAATTTTTTTTTTTAATTTAAGCCCGGCCAAGCCCAGATGTATATAAAAAAAGGAAATATGGCCTAGGTAAAATTTACCTGGTCTTGGCTTAGGGCGGGCCTAAAGATCTCTGATAAATATTGAATATATTTATATGTTTAATGTATTGTGCAATCCACAATATCTACCCCATAACCTTTCATCAGGTGATGGCCTAAAACCTTTTGGCCTTATAAATTATAACTATCCCATGGGCTTTTGGTTAATCTCTCATCTGGGATTATATGCATCAAGACTTTACCCACAATGTTAATAGTAACAAGCTTACTAATGGGAAAACAAAAAAAATTGATAAACACTAAATAATATGGGAAAACAAAAAAAATTGATAAACACTAAATAATATTGTTGTGATATTTAATAAGGTAAAAATGAAGACTAAAAAAAATATAAAATTAATATTTTTTGAGCTATAGAGGATAGGCCTATATTTTATTGATGATGTTATGGCCCAACCAGCCCTGCATCTATATTGTAATTAATAGCTAATATAGATTAAATATTGTCCAATAAAAATGTTAAAACATAATTATAATAATCCTCTATTTTCATTATAATAATGTGATTTTTTATCTAAAATACAATAAATATTTTTCAAAAATGCTTCATAAAAATTTATAAATGGATATAGAAAGCTATAATTATCTTTGCCAGCAATATATAAATTTGGCAAAGAAATGTTCTTCCTAATTCTCTTTGAGCTTTTTATTTAATTAGGAGTTGGATAATATTTTACAAATTTTATTGCTTTTTTAAATACTAAGTTGGTGCCATTTAAGCATACTTTTTTTATTGTAGTCAAAAAATAATGGGTTGGTTTTTAGATTAAAAAACACTTTCTTTTCTTTTATTCCTATTTGGTCTATCTTCATTGAAATTAATTTTTCTTAAATGTTTTACATACCTCTCCATACCCTCACAATTCCTATATAGATATAAAAGATGAACATTGAGTAGTGTTGTATCAAATTAAATGGTGAATGTAAAGTTTTATTAATTAGCTTCATAAAAACAAATTGCGTGTATTTTAAATACATTTTATATAAATTAGTCTAATGGCACCAGAATATAAAGATTCTAAAAAAAATAATATATCAATTTAATCAATATTTTTTAAAAAAAAGAAAATTTAAAGAGTTGTATAATTCTTATAGTATGAAATTATTATACAATTTATGTAAAACTCAATTTTTATACAAATATCAATATAAAAAGGAGGATTTTTGGTTTGGCATAGCTTAACCTTGATAAAATGTGTGGAAAATAAAATAATGATAAGATATTATGATACAAAAAAAATTATATATCAAATATAAAATTACTGTAGCCTCCAAATTGGCCAACTGGAATTGATGGTCCATAATTTGGTGCATATCCAGGCACATATCCATGTCCTCCTGGTTGATAGGTCCCTTAAAATAATTAGAATATTAGATTTACAAATTGTGATAAAAGATTAATACCTGCTCCCATCCCCGGGTGAAATGGGGGAGGCATTGGGGGAATCTGAGTAGGCGGTATTGCCATATATTAAAAAAACTAATATTATTCTTATTTAAAATAATTATCGAGTTATTAAAAAATGTTTTATAATAGATTTTTCTTATAATTCGACGATTGACATGTTGTCATGTTATGACGAAAAATAATGCATACAAGATAGATGTATGTTAAATTATGGTATATAAGAATGGCGATTATGGTTTTTTTTAAATGATTATTTAAAACAGCGGCGTAGGCAGGGGGGGATGCACAATACATTAAACATATATACAATATCAGAGATCTTCAGGCTCGGCCCTAAGAACAGCCCTGGTAAATGGGCTAGGCCATATTTGCTTTTTTTTATATACGTCTGTGTTGGGTCGGGCTTAATCCAATACCCTCGTAAAATAAATAATTTATTTTTTTTATTATATCAATGAAATATATTTAAAAAACAAATAAGAATTTTAATTTTATGATTACATAGTTTAAAATTAAAAATTATATAAACTGAAATAAAGGGGGTGGGGCATAAAGATATATTGAAAATATTTTCTGGAATAGTAGAGCCGAGGATGTATAAAATATATGATCTCCATATCCCGAAATATAATTTTTGAAAACATTTATAAATTTAATAATATAATTTATATTGCTAAACAAATTAGATAGTTTAAAATTTTTTTAAAGAAAGATAGTTTAATTTGGTAAAAATAAACAGCAAGCTTTTATTTTCTTGTGCCGGTTGAGTCTGAATTGTTTATTACACTTAAAATGAGACAGAATATTAAGAAAATCTCAGAGTTTTACTCTGATGATTTATCAGAATCGTAAAGTTACTTTGTGATCTGGAATTTTTGACAGAATAGAGTACTTTTTGATACTAAAAAAAAATGCTTTTTCAGACTTTTTTCATGTGTAATTACACTTTAGATTCCCAATCTAATATCAAAACATTGTTTTTTTATTTTAGCTACCTTGCTGTTTAGTACCTCCACTTATGAAAGATCCTTTTCAACTTTGGAAATGTTAAAAACCTATTTAAGAAGTATCATTGGTGAAAACCGTTTAAATAGATTAGCCCTATTAAATAGATATAATAATATAATTCTAGATAATAATTTTATTATAGATAATTAGCCAAATCTCAGAGAAAAGTAGATCTCTCTTTATGAATTCAAAAATTGCAATATGAATATTTTCTTAGTTATTAAATTTTTATATGCAAAACTAAATTATAGTAAATTTAAAGTCATTACATTTATATATTTTTTATACTATACTATTTTTAATAAAAGTATATTTGCAATCAGAGTAATTTATTATGATAATATAATAATTTGTATTTAACCTTATGTGCAACAAGAATTACTTATATTTCATTATATTTATATTTTTTTTAAAAATACAGCTATTTACAATAAATTTTTAACATAATTATATGAATAAAATTTATACATTTTGAAATTTATTTTATTTTATATTATTATTAAAATAAATACATAGTCATATAAAGGATGTTATTATTACTAGAGTATTTTATTAATAAATAAAATCTATCATGAAATTTGTGTAAAATTTTGTTATGCAAAAATTTAATTAAGTGGAAAGTTTGGAGGGTGGAGGGCAAATTTTTTTCTTCTTTCTACATGGAATTGAATTAATTTACAATTGATCAATAAACAATGATATAAATTTCTGAATATGCTTATTAATTTTTTCATTTTTGCTGGTTACTTAAAGCAAAAAATATTGGCAAATTTTAGAATTATTATTACAATTGTTCAACCAACTTTAACAAAGATGATATAAAGATAACTACCAAAATCAATATTATATAATATTTTTTAGGTACCCGGTCGAAACCCTGAAGAAAGGGAGTTTAGGGAGAAGCCCCCCAAAAATTGTTTAACCCCCCCCCCCCCACCATGGATAAATAATGGCTATGCTTTGATACTTCCATACCGGGGTTTCTTTCCAAGAACCTGATAGAAAACTATCAGATGAGGAGTTGAGTTTAAATAGTTTATAAATTAATTTTTTTTAACCTTATTTTATGTATTAATGGGTATAGAAAATGGTCCGGCTATAAAGGTAGACCTTGCCTAGCTTGATAATATCTAAAAGGGCGGTTTCGTTATCACAGAACCATTGTATTAATAGAAAAGGGGAGAGGTGGAATATAATATATATTTAATTAAAATGATATTTAAGAGAACTGGCAAATTTCCAGAGGAGGGTAGTAAATATTATTCTTGTAAAATATGACTATCAGATCCTGTTTATTATGGATAGATGATACCCACGTTCAGAAATAAATTGTAGATATACTGCAAATATAATATTATGACTGAAAAATCATTGAAAATTAAGTTAAATAGCAAAAAACAAAACCAGTTCCGTAAAGTTTGCTGCTATATAAAATCGCCAAAATTATAAATTTCAAAAAAAATTAAACTATGCTTTTGAATTTCTAAATTAATTATAGTGCAATATAATATTTATCGATTTATTTTATATCCTAAATAATTTAGAAACCCAAATATTAAAAATAGGTCTGATCATTAAAATAGGTTATATAGTCATAATCAGGTATGTATACAAGGGGGCGACAAATCCCCACACCCCTAAAGTCAAAATTTAGATGCCGGGTGCTAAAATATTTTTTTATTACTGTCTTATGATTATTAATATATATTTCAGAATCAACTAACTTTTTTTTTAATATATATTTTAATTTACATTTATTTAGCATATTCACAGAGCAGAAAAAAATACGCTACTAATTTATTCTATGTATAAATATAGATTTATAATTCCCTTTGGCGTTGTATTTAGCTACCATTTTAAAACTTCCCCATCGAATCATTTCAAAGCTTAAGTAAATTATTTTTAAAAAAAATGATATTTAAGGTTTCAAATTTATTCAAAGAAAGGATTCAATATTGAAAAAAATTAGAATCCTGGTTACCTTGACAAGGATATGGTGTAACCCATGCTATAAGTGGGCAATAAAATGAGCTCTAGCCCTTATTAAAGGGAAATATTTCATGGGTATATATATGCCCAATGCTGCTCATTCAACTTGGCAATTTGTGATTCTTGTTCTCTATAATTGAAATTGCTTATAGGTATAATTTTATTTCTTATGATTAAAATATTTCGTTAATAGATGTTTAGATGAGACAAAATATAATAAACAGAATCATATCTGAAACTCCTTGTCCAACACGGGGAAAAAATATTATAAAAAATCGTGTAAGCCTTCGCAATTTCAAGTAGTAACGGCTTTTATAGAGTTAAAGGTAGTGTTGTTAAACGGCTCGTTTTGAGCCGATTTTTAAAACGGCTAACTCAATATTTCATCCAGAATAGTATTACGTAAGTCTGAAGATTTTGTTTATAAAAGGAACAAAGGTTTGGACATCTATTAGCGAGATCTCAAGGCATAGGCAATATTTTTCTGGCTAAAATATTGAGTAAGCCGTTTTTAAAAATCGGCTCAAAAACGAGCTGTTTAACAACTCTAGTTAAAGGTAATATAAAAATGGTTTTTATTTCCAATATTCTCAAAAATAAAAAAATGGCTTCTATTTCCAATATTCTTCAATCAAATATCAATACCAAAAGATAAATCAAATAAACAAAAGAATGAATCATACTGAAATATCAGTTCAAAAGAAAATCATATCAAAAACACAGAATGAATGCTTTTAAAAAAATACAGAAGGTATCATTAAATTATTTTGGTGGAATCCACTTCCTTTACAGTCAGAACTCTAACCATCTGAACCCAGATGTTTTTTAGGACCCGCTCCTATGGAGCGTTTATATACTAAAAAAAAATATTATAAATTTCCAAGATATTCACGAAAAAATAAATAAAAAGATATTTTTTTTGAAACATTTTTCATTCTCTTCGTATTTTTTTTTTTTAAATTTGCAGTAGTTTGCTTCCATTTTGTAGGTAAAATTTTATCATGAATGATAATTTTATACGTTATTAATATAATATAATAGGAATATGTTGCTTATCCTATAACTTTGGAAAGTAAAATATTGGAAGAAGAACTTAAATAAAGAAAGTAAAACAAAATCAAATTTTTCTAGATATTATTAAAACGTGCCTTTTCTTCTTCGAAATACATATTGTCTTGTCAGATCGGCGTGGAAATTTCAAAGAAGACATTTCGGAAGATGTTATGATTGGCTCGATTGAATAAAACATTTAAAATTAAAATATAAATTAATTTTTTAAAATTTTTTTTTACCAGTAAATTATATATATATGCCGTAGAAAAAAAAAATATTTAAATAATTGAAAAAAAAAAAATTAGTATTATTTTATTAATATTGAATAAATATTTCTTTATGTACTCCAAAACCTGAAACCGAACTCCCTTTTTAAAATTTTTATCTTTGAACCCAGACACGGGCCCTGTTGTTGAAAGAGTTCATATCCCTGTCACAAATCGTTTTTTAAAAAATTTTGATGAAATCTTAATTTTAGAATGATCGAGAATTATATCAGTGACCTGCAGAGGCACCATTAGCAATCGTTTTTCAGTGAATATGAAATCCAATATATAATAATTTTTCAAATTATCTGATCTCCTTATTTGTCGTAATAAAAGGAGTGAGTTTGAATCATCTCATTTTCTTATTCGACTGATCGAGGGTATTTTCCTTATTTCCCGTCCCTCTTTTAGTTCAATATAGTCATTTACGTAATTTCCTGAATTTGTGACGGATAAAAAGAGAGATAAAATGATATATATCCAAAAATAAATTTTTTTCCTTAATGTATTATATTTAAAATATTGAGTGTAACCTTTGTTGCTTTCAATTCGATTGAATATCACCTAAGATAATGAATAGTTGAATAATTAATTTTGATTGTAAATATTTTCTAAGGATAGAA